AGAAAGAAAGAAAGAAAGAAAGAAAGAAAGAAAGAAAGAAAGAAAGAGAAGGCACTTGATTTGGAACCGCTGACATCTCACCAGGAGACCTTTAACCCCATCAAACATCCACATTTGTCTCTCCTGGGTCCTTGGGAAGGACTGGAGAGGTGGATTAAAAAAGCCAAATCCAGTCTCAACATCTGGATGACTTGGAAACCTTCTATAAAAATAATAATGCAGCTTTGAGCCGCACCGGCCTATCTTGGGTGTTTGGGAAGGGACTCCATAGGTAGTCCAAAAACGCCACATCCAGCCTGACCACCTGGCTCAGTGTGCAACGAACCATAATAGTGAGAGGCCCCCTTGGGTGCAAGCCCCAAACATCTGGGAACATCCCTTGAAACGCCTTGGGCACTGACCAAATTCAGCATCGGTCCATTGCAAAAAGGCAGCTTGGGTTGGAAGAGCTGGCCTGTCCTTCCAGGGAGTCCTTCAACCACACCGCCACACATCTGTCTCTCCCAGATGTTTGGGAAGGACTCCAGGGGTGGGTAAACAGGCCAAACCCAGTCTCAACATCTGGCTGGTTTTGCAAGTGACCATAATAACAGAGCTTCCCTCCCTCAACATCATCAAGCAGTCCACCACCACTTGACGGACTCGCAGCCGGCTGGCAAACCGTACTCAATGGGTCTTAAGTCTGCATGGAGGGAAGGAAGCAGTGGGGTTGCCACAAGGTTCCCTCTCAGGCCCAGGACTCTTCCAGATCTTCCTTAATGACTTAGATGAGGGAATAGAAGGGGAACTTACCAAATTTGCAGGTGATACTAAGCTGGCAGGAATAGCCAACACCCAAGAAGATGAGCTCAAGATCCAGAGGGATCTTGACAGACTAGAACACTGGGCCGTATCTAACAAAATGAAATTCAATGTAAAGGGAAGTCCTACACTTAGGCAAGAAAAACCCAAAGGACACATATAGACATATAGGAGAAACCAGGCTCAATAGCAGTAGCTGTGAGAGGGATCTTGGAGTCTTAGTGGACAACCAGCTAAAGAGGAGCCAGCTGTGTACAGTGGCAGCCAAAAAAGCCAATGCAATCCTAAGTTGCATTAACAGAGGGATGCAATCCAGATCAAGTGAGGTACTAATACCACTCTGTAAAGCCTTAGTAAGGCCACACCTGGAGTACTGCATCCAGGTTTAGTCATCACACTATAAAAAAGGATGTTGAGACTCTGGAAAGAGTACAGAGAAGAGCAACCAGGAGGATGAGTTGACTAAAATATACGATGAACGGTTGCAGGAACTGGGCCTGGCTAGTCTAGGGAAGAGAAGGACCAGGGGAGACAGGAGAACCATCTTCCAATATTTGAGGGCATGGGGGTTGGACTAGATGACCTACAAGGTCCCTTCCAACACTATTAATCTGACTTTAATCTGATTTTAATGAACAAAAGGACCAGGTGAGGCAGGAGAGCCATCTTCCAATATTTGAGGGCTGCCACAGAGAGGAGGAGGGGTCAAGCTATTTTCCAAGGCACCTGAAGGCCAGACAAGGAATCATGGATGGAAACTGAAAAAGAAGAGATTTAACCTGGAAATAAGAAACTTTCTGACAGTGAGAACAACCAACCCATGGAACAGAAGTTGCCTTCAGAAGTTGTGGCAGCTTCATCCCTGGAGGCTTTCAAGAAGAGACTGGACTGCCCTCTGTCAGAAATGGCGTAGGGTCTCCTGCTTGGGCAGGGGGTTGGACTAGATGACCTTACAATGTACCTTCCCAACTCTGATGACCTGTTATCTGTTAGCCACATCTGCCTAGCTTAGGAGTTTGGGAAGGTGGGTAAACAAACCAACTCCAGGTGGAACATCTGGCTGACTTTGCAACCCATTGCAATAACAGAGTTTCCCTGTTTAACACCACCAAAACAGCCACATCTGCCTATCTTAGGGGGGTTTGGGAAGGGCCAGAGAAGGGGAACCAAAATTATAATAAAAACCCTAGTCTGAACATCTGGCTGGCTTGGAAAGCAACTTATAATAAATAAAAACACACCTTCCATTTCTGCAACGATGATACCTTTTATTTAACACATCAAAGAGCCACATCTGCCTGACTTAGGGGGTTTGGGAAGGAGTGGAGAGGTTTATGAAAGGGCCAGTCTGAACATCTGGCTGGCTATTAAAAACAACCCAGCAACCAAAACAACAACAACAACCACTATAATCATGCACAAAACGTAATAAGCACATTCTACACTTCCTTCCCCAAATGCAGGCAGGAAAGGCATGTTATCGCTGGCAAGGGAGCCCAGCCAGCCAGCTAGGCGTGTTTTAGTGCCCCGCAGGTGCAGCCAAAAAAGACGGTGGGCGGAAGATCTTAAAAGGCAAGGAAGGCCACACCGCGGTCGTGGGTGGCCGCCAGCATGCGTGGTGGATGTGACACAGTCGTGAGGTCACAGCGCCAAATGACAGGGGACCGGGGTGGAGTGGGGCTTTGGCTCATTCGCCGTGGCAAATTGATGCCATGATGTGCATCACTGGCACAACATGGGTATGGGGGGGGGCTGGCTGAGATTGGCTCTTTTCTTGCGACATCTCATGACCCAAGTAGGGAACAGCATCATTGCTAGAAAGGAAGGGGTGTTGTTGTTGTTTTGCATTTCTACCACCGATGATGTTCCTCAGTTGGGTCATGAAATGTCGGCCAGAAAATAGCCAAGGTCAGAAAGCACCAAGGACCCCACAGTTTTCCTCCTCCTCCTCATCTTCCTCCTCCTCTTCTTCTTCCTCTTCTTCCTCCTCCTCTTCCTCTTCCTCCTCCTCCTCTTCCTCCTCCTCCTCCTCCTCTTCCTCCTCCTCCTCCTCTTCTTCCTCCTCCTTCTCCTCTTCTTCCTCCTCCTCTTCCTCCTCCTCCTTCCCCTCCTCTTCCTCCTCCTCTTCTTCCTCCTCCTCCTCCTCCTCCTCCTCTTCCTCCTCCTCCTCTTCTTCCTCCTCCTCCTCCTCTTCTTCCTCCTCCTCCTCTTCCTCCTCCTCTGCCTCCTCTTCCTCCTCCTCTTCCCCACAACCCCCTCTTCCTTCTAGCACTGATGACGTTCCCTAGCTGGGTCACGAAACGCCTGCAAGGAAACCACCTGGCTCAGACACACCACCCCAGGTCCCCGCAGTTCAAAGCTACAAAGGTTCTCCTCTATTTGGCAAGTTGTGGTATCACTTCTACCCCCCTCCCCCAATGGCCCACTCCCCAAATAAATCCACCCCTCTTTTCGCTTCTCCAAACCTGCCCCAGGGAACAGCCAGATCCCCACGGCTGCAGGAAATCCCACTCGCGTAACATGCCCGCCCACCCCCCAAACCTGCCCCCCCCAGGCGTGTCCCTTTGAGGGGAGGGTCCCCGCACTCACCTTATAAACCCAGGACTTGGGACGCTGACTTTGACCCTTCCGGCGTTTCAAGGCATCTTCGAGCCGCCGCTGACCTGTAAGATAAAAGCTACCTCAGTCTGGGAAAATCAAATTCGAACCCAAACCATGGTTGCCGGCAAGACCCCTTTGCTTCCAAGGGCGACTTAAGGGGAGGGGGCTTCGCGATCCCTTGGAAATGATTCCCATGTAATATTCCTTTCTATAGGTCCAGGGTGGTCTCTAAGCTTGGCCCCTTTAAAACTTGTGGACTACAACTCCCAGAATTCCTCAGCCGGTCATTTTCCCCGCCCCCAACTTGGCTGAAGTCAAGATATAAATTACATTTACCGCATTCCCACCATCTATTATTAAGAAAATTACTCTATGGAATAAAAAAAATGTGCTAAAGTTGTCTATATCGACATGGCTTCTTGTCCTCCTATCCGTGCTGAATTCTGGGTAAATCTTGGCGGGCTGAGGAACTCTGGGAGTCGAAAGCCCATAGATAACAGATAATCAGAGTTGGAAGGGATCCTGTAGGTCATCTAGTCCAACCCCCCCCCCGCCCAACCCTATACCATTTCTGACAAATGGCAGTCCAGTTTCTTCTTGCAAGTCTCCAGGGATGAAGCTCCCACAGTTTCCAAAGGCCACTTCTATTTCATTGAATATAGAATACCAGAGTCGGAAGGGACCTTGGAGGTCATCTAGTCCAACCCGCCCCCGCCGCCCAATCAGGAGCCCCTACACTATTTCTGAAAGAAAGGAGAGAAAGTGCCTGATAGGGAAAGGAAGGAAAGAAGAAAGAACAGAATAACAGATTCGGAAGGGACCTTGGAGGTCATCCAGTCCATCCCCCTGCCCAAGCAGGAGACCCGACTCCATTTCTGACAAATGGCAGTCCAATCTCTTCTTGAAAGTCTCAAGTGATGTCTTAAAAGTTGGCAAATGAAAGGGGGGGGAACCCCTTTTTTTATCCCCTTGATAACAGTTCTTGCAAAAGGGAAGGCCTCCATATTCAATTTAAATAGACACACATCCATTTTGAACCTCCTGTAGCATTCCTGTATTATACGCTGCCAGCTTTTTCTCTCGGGTGCTCATGAGGACTAGAAACTTTGGAAGTCTTGTGAGAGATGGCGTCTAGGAGCAGACTCTTCCGTTGCAGGGATCCTTGGCTTGAGCGACTGCTCAGAGTTAACAATGGCCCTGAAAAAAGGTGACCTCCTGGACCTCTTTTCCACACTTGAAAAATTCGGACAACTGACTCATACTTACGACGATTCCGGGTAGTCATACGATTCCCCTTTTGCGACTGTCTGACCAACCCAGGGGGAACGCCGGATTCGCTTCACCACTGGGCGATGGACTGAACCGCGGCGGTGACTCGCTTAACAACAGCGGCCAGAAAGGTTGTAAAATGGGCCCAAAAGTTTCCCTTAATCGCTGCCTCGCTTAGCAACAGAAATAGGACTCATCAGACGAGGACTCCCAATATATTTATTTATTTTCAACAGGATTTTGAGGTCCGGTTTCATCCTCCTTTTGCACCGCGCGCTCTCCCTCTCTTTTCTCCCTTCAGGTCAAGGGTGGGGATTCAGCCGGTTTGGATCGGTTCGCATGAACCGGTTGTTCTAGCAATCCGTTGGCCCCGTCCACCCGCCGCTTCCCTAGTCCAGTGATGGCGAACCTTTGTGTTGTGGTGTGCCGAAAGCGCGTGCGTGCTGGCAGCCCCCATGCAATGCGGCCTGCACCCCCCTGCGCATGCGCGCACAACACCACCACCCCTCCCTTTTATTTGCACTGCTTTGCATTGATTCTCAGCCCATTTGAGGCTCAAGGAGAGCCTACGCACCCCCGGGAGGCCGAAAAAACGGGCCTTCCGGAAATACCGGAAGTGCCCATTTTCAACCTCCGGAGACCAGGGGGGGCCATTTTTGCCCTCCCGGAGGCTCTCTCAAGAAGCCTCTGCACCCTCGGGAGGCCGAAAAACGGGCATTCCGGAAGTACCAGAAGTGCCTGTTTTCAGCCTCCGGAGGGCCTCTGGAGCCCGGGGGAGGCCATTTTCGTCCTCCCAGAGGCTGGAGGGAAGCCTCTGCAGCCTCGAGAGGCTGAAAAATGGGCCTGTTTCGCCACTTCCGGTATTTCCAGAAGGCCTGTTTTTCGGCCTCCCGAGGTTGCGGGAGGGTGAAGATGGCCTCCAACGGGCCTATTTCCGTGTTTTGAATCCCAGCTGATTCACACGGCACGATGGTTGTGCCACTCCTCTGCTGTTTTACTCGCTGAGGCTGCAGTCGAAGGTGAATTTCAAAGCTGAAAATGGCCGTTTTTTAAAAAAACGAAGCGCAAATTGCGGGCTTGATGAACCGATCGTTACCCTGGTTGATTCCCGACACCCCCCCACATCCGCCTTCACCTCATGAGGACTATAAACTTGGGAAGTCTTCGCGAGAGGCGTCCCCGCCGAGCAGAGTTGCCACGTGCGCCTGCACAATCCCCCCATCCCGCCTTCCC